CCGTCGGCAATTGCTACGGCAGCGCCGAGAACTTCGAGTGGCATTGGGCAGTCCCAGAGGCGTGACGGTGAATAATGTACCCGACGCCAGTCAAGAACCAGATGCTGCTGAACCTTCAGATGACGAGCGACGGATTTCAGAAGCGCTGAGAGCCCTGTCTCGACATATGAAGCGGGTACGGATATTGGTTTGGAAGGCATTTCAGGTCAGAGCGATCAATGAGATGTGGGAGCAGTGGGGGGGGGGGGGGGGGGGGGGCAAGGGAATTATATGATGTATATCGCCTCCCACGGCGCGCAGCAGGCAGCAAATTTGGCGCTAAGCGGCGCCCCTATCTTGCCGCGCAGGTCGCACCATGGGCAGAGAAAGAATGGCTCGACCAGCTTTCGCTCCCAGGGCGCGAGGGAGTTATGCAGGCTGCGCTCGTCCCGCCCCGGATAGATTTTGCCCGAGCCCGAATTGATGAAGTTTGAGCCCCTGACGCGACCAGCCCCCCTGAATGAGCAATTCAAAAAAAAACCGAGTCGCATGTTCGCAAACTCGAGGGATGGGCTCTGGGAGCTCCCAAGAGAAAGGCTGTGCCGAGTTGGGCCGCCCCTGTTGAGCTTTTAGTTATTCTGTGGGCCCCGCCCACGGTCGCCTCGTTCAGAAATCGTGGGTTGGAGGCTCCAGGGCCCGAGCTAGATGCGCCAGTTTTCAGATCGCACCTCGGAGGCGCCTGTCTCAGAATTAGAACCAGTCTGCGCGCGCCTGTCTTTTGGCACTCCTGCATGGGGGTCTCGTAGACAGGAGAAAGGAACCGATGGCACCACCTTTGGGGGAGCGGCCTCGTGGCTTGCGATCCACCCCTCCCCCCGCTGGGTATGGGCTGGTACCCCGCCCGCTCCGCGACCCCGGAGATGTCGCCCCGGGTGCTAGGTTTTTTGTTGCCCCACAGATGTAAGGAGACTACCATTGCCAATTCCCTAATCATGATGTGGCGCATTCGCGGAGCACGCCGGCTTGGGCTGTTGCGTCCACGTGGCCTCGCGCATGCGTATGCGAGTGTGAAGTGGGCAGACATGCGGGCTGCTGCAGTGGAGCTGATGCAGGGCGGCCACGCACGTCTAGGCTGCCGGCGATTTGGAGAAGGCGTAGTGGCTTTACAGCGCGAAGAGGGCCCCCGTTTTTTGGGCCAGGATGCGGAGGCATGATGGGGGGCCCGTATTTCGGGCGACAGTTTGTCCAGAGATTCCAGGCAGTTATCCAGGATTAGGGGGGCGACTCGAGCGGGAGGGTTTCGTGGCGGGGGAGTTGGTTACCCGGCGCCCATTCCTGGATGGGGCCGTAGATGTGTCACCCAGCCTGTATGCCGACGACATTTGAAGTTTTTGATCGGGGGGCCGCGCCGAGGGATCCAGGACTTTGCTCAGATGAGCGAGCAAGCTGATGCCCTCCTGGATCAGGCCCTGGCCGGAATCGGTTGCATGCAGAATATAAGCAAGCAAGAAAGTGCACCTGTTCTCTCGGGGCCTGGGTCGGGGACCTATGCGCGTGATCTTAGAGTGCAAGGGGTTGCCCTTCCCGCCCCGCGCTGTGCCCGCGCCAGATATCTAGGAGTACGAATGGGAGCTAATTCTAGCTATGTAGTTGAGCATGCGTACCGCGAGAAGGCGGTGGCGGCGGCTTCTTCCTCCGGAGTTTTTGGTTCCTAAAGCGCGCTCAGTGGGGGGTGGGGCGCAGGCTCCCGGCATGCTGTGTACACAACACCGCGCTGCAGTCTAATGTAGCCTATATTTGCTCCAAGCAACCATATGGCGAATTAGATCATTTAGTCGCGCGGTGCGCGAGGGGGGCTACGAGAGGAGCTGCGCGCGAATTACGAGAGACACTGGACAACAGCATCGCGCACTCAGCACAGCACAAGTACTGGGGCATCGGCGAATGGCACCCGCGAGCCTCGAGACGCGGGCGCGGCGCCTTCGTTGGCGTCAGACCATGATCGCCCACTAGTGGAGGAATGGCCAGATTCTCACCCCCATGTTCGGCCACATCTCGTTTGAGGACGAACCGGCGCTGATCCGGGGAGACCTGGCATAACATGCAAATCCGTGGGTAGACCAATTTCGTCAGGATGTACTCGAAGGAGTAGATGGGCATGATGATGGGGGGCGGGTATCTTTGGGTGCGTATTCGTGCGGGGTGAAGGGGGTATTGATTAATCACGGCTTCACTGTATTTCGATGAGGGAGTATACATGCCAGCTGTGCTGCCACCAGAATGGCACCCATGTCAGTTGCCTTCTCAAGCAGCTACTACTGCTACTACACACGGGTGGAGGAGGATGGAGCTGTATGTTCTTATTGGGAAATGGTATATTATGTACAGCTTGCTGTGACACAACTAAGGCCAAACATAGGATGGCCAAACATTGACAGCGTGATGTGTAGACCTAGTTACCACGAGTGTGTGCCCATTATGCCTCGTCGTCTTCGGATGTGTGATGACTGCGCAGCGACGTCTTCCCTCGAGCGTGGCCAGAGGTGGACATTGCATTGCTCGCTCGAGATACATTGTGTGTGCGTGTGTGTGTGTGTGGTGGTTGGTGGTGGTGGGGCGTCCTGATCGGGTAGACCGCCGTCCGTGTGAATTTCGGGCCCAAGCCTTTGAGCAGCTACAAGAGCATTTGCATAGTCCCGTGCCACCATTCGAAGTATTATCGGAGCTGGTATCGACGCGGCCATATCGACCCCGCAATGTCCCTTGCCGTAGCCGCCCCTGCCTGGGGCTTGAAGAGAGGTGCCGGATCCAGCTTGGGCTCCGACGGACCAGCTCGCAAGGTGCAGATCCAAGAGTTGCTCGCCTCAAGAGAAGGTGCCGGCGCAGTCGAGATGCTGCTCGTCGTCCTCGCAAAGCTCAGTTTGACGCACGCGGCCGAGGCCAGGGGGATCGCAGGCATGCCGTGGAACGCGGTGCTCGTCGACGCAAAAGCGCACATCGCAGTCGAGATGATGGCCCAAGGCAAGACCTGCACGTGGCCACCAGGGCGGCAAAAGGATACCCTGCCGCTCAAGAACGCCATGGGCCGCCGTGCGCGCACGTATTCGCGGGCCTCATGTCGGGCTTGTCGAAGGCGCATATCGTGCTCGAGCCGACCAACACGCGGTGCCTGACGAAGTTCTGGGCGAAAGAGGCGGCGGCGGAGGGCAAGGCGCCAGTCGACCTGCTGGGCAGAGCGATGTACTGCAAGTGCAAGGCAGCCAAAGTCAAGGATGGCCAACCAGGCCAGGCGAAAGCCACGATTGCGATGGGCACGGAACTCGGCGCGGTGCAGGCGGCGACCATGGCGGCGCTGGCGCAGAGCGGCGGTGTCAAGAAGCACGGCCCAGCTCCCAGGGCCCCCCCTGGAGCGGGCGGCGCAGGACCTCCTCGAGGTGCTCGAGGGTACGTCGACGGGCAGCAAGCAGAAGCAGTAGGACGCTCGCAGTTGCCGAGGCTGACGGCCATCCAGCGTGTGCAGATTGCACAGTTCCCCAATCGGCTTCTGCAGATGGTAGAGCGAGGAGCTGCCGCGCTGGATGCCGCGCTCCGACGCCCAGGAGTGGCAGCCGGCAGTTGGCGTTTGCAGCCGCCCGAGAGGCGGAAGAGAGGGAATGGGAAAGGGGGGTGGGTGAGTGGCCGCGGTGTTTCTCAGGCCGCTGAGCCTCCTTCTGGGAGCCAAACTCACCCGGCCCCCTGGGCCCGAGCTTTGAGCATTAATCTTTTTGTTCGGAGGTCTGAGGCTGGATGTAGGAAGCGAGCCAGTTGTGCCCTGGATGACGGGAGTGGCCATTGTGTCCCCGCCGTCCAGGGCGGGGTGGCTCGCCCCGCCCTTCAGCCTAAGCTCAGTCGGCAGACGAGGGTGCCTCAGACCGCTTTGCAGTGCTCTCCTGTCTGCACGAGCGGACCCCCAGAATACTCTGAATGTTACAAACTGTTTTTACTCTGAATGTTTTACTCAGGGCAAAGACAGGTTTTACTCTGAATGTTACAAACTGGTGAATTCAGACAGGAGTTGCCCAGGCATCTCACACGAACGGACGAACCTAGTGCCCCCCGAGCTCGATTCCGATTCCGATTCCTCCCCCCGCCTCCTCCCTCCCCCTTCTTCCTCTCCCATTGTTCTCTCCCTCCCCGTATTCCTATGTACCCTCTCCATTATCTTCCCCTCCTTTCCTGCCCCCAATCTTCCTTCCCTTCTCTCCCCCCGCGCCCTCTTTCTGCTTTCCCCTCCCCCCCCGTCTCTCCCCCCCTTCCCGCGCGAGGGCAGAGGAGGATGATGATGATGATGATGAGGAGGAGGAGGAGGAGGAGGAGGAGGAGGAGGAGGAGGAGGAGGAGGAGGAGGAGGAGGAGGAGGTGGAGGAACACCATGAAAACGAACAATGCTAATGCTACTAAGGATAATAGTCGTATTACTAGATCAAAGCAAAACAATATTAATCATATGAGTATCACGAGTACGACGAACACCACGGTCAATAATGATTGTTCTGCTACTACTACGAAGACTGCGACGAATACTACGAGTACCGATACTAGTCATAATACTACTACTATCACGAAGAAGAGTTGGATGAGTAATCACAGTATGAATAATATTAAGAAAAAGATGGGGAGGATGATGAGGAATAGCAGGACGAACGGGAGGAGAGGGAGGGCGGGAGGGGTGGGTGGGGGGGGGGAGGCTGAGGGTAATGAACAGGGGGAGGAGCTGGAGGAGGATGAGGAGGAGGAGGAGGAGGAGGAGGAAAGGAGGATGATGAAACGTAGGAGGAGGATGCGGAGGAGAAGGAGGAGGAGGAGGAGGAGGAGGAGGAGGAGGAGGAGGAGGAGGAGGAGTTAGAGGAGGAGGAGGGAGGAGGACGACGAGGAGTTGGAGGAGGAGGGGAGGAGGAGGAGGAGGAAGAGGAGGAGGAGGAGGAGGAGATTGAGGAGGAGGAGGAGGAGATTGGAGAGGAGGAAAGCGGTGCCCACGGGAGGCGCAGCTGAAGGTCATCGAGGACCGCATCTTGGAGCAACTCTCGAGCGCAAAAGGCAACATCCTGGATGACGAGGCCGCCGTCGTCGTCGTTGTCGTCGTCGCTGTCGTCGTCGTCGTCGTCGTCGTCATCGTCGTCCTCGTGATATTAGCCGTCGTCGAACATTCATTTCCAGAGGACAATATTGGTTGATCAGGGAAAACGGTTTCGGGCGTTTTCGCAATGGTGCGGCTACATTCTCTTCGAAGGCGATGCTTCCTCGGGAGCGCGGGCTTCACTTAAAATCCTGGCCGTGGAAGGCCCAGCTGCGACGACAACGGCTCCCGCACGATTCCTCCTCACCCTTTCCTCCCAGACGCCCAGCATAGCTGGGCCCCAAAACTCAGGAACGGCGCTTCCGCGCTAGACCCTGTCGCGCTGCTTCAGTCAAGCTGGTGAAGGTCCAACTGCGACGACAGCGGCTCCCGTTGTATACTTTCTCGCAGTGTGATCCAAGGCGCCTCAGCCAGAGACACCCCCGATGTCAGTGATGCCGCTCTCGCCCGAGACATCCTTGCAGTCCCGTCAAGATGGTGAAGGCCCACTTGCGACAATAATGGCTCCCGCACGGTACTTCATCGCAACACATTCCCACACGCACGCCTTGTGCAGATGCGTTCTCACATTCAGGACTGGCGCTCTCGCCGAAGACTTCCTCGCAATCCACTTGGGTTGGTGAAGGCCCAACTACGACGACAACAGCTCTAGCTCTACACTTCCTCGCACTTGCCTCCCGTGCGCTCTGGGCATATGCGTCCTCACACTCAGGACCAGAGACTCCCTCGCCATCCACGTGGGATGTTCAAGGCTCGGGTGCAGCGTCAACGGACACGGCTCGACGCGTACTCCCCCGCGCTTTGTTCGGAGACGCCCTGGCCAGATGCGTCCCTTCGTTGAGGCATGGCGCCCGAGGCGCCGAGCCAGCCCGCAGAGGGCCCTCTCGGATGTCACCGCGCCGGTGACGCAGCACCCGCAGGGGCTTGTTGCGCTCGCGGCCACTCCGTGGCTGGTGCCGAGTGGGCCAGGAGGGAGGAGGAGGAGGAGGAAATGGGGGAGGAGGAGGAAATAGGGGAGGAGGAGGATGAGGAGGAGGTGGAGGAGGAGGAGGAGGAGGAGGAGGAGGGAGGAGGAGGAGTTGGAGGAGGAGGAGTTGGAAGAGGAAGGAGGAGGAGGAGGAGGAGGAGGAGGAGCGGGCGAACTCTCTCTCTGTGATATATATATATATATATATATATATGTGTGTGCATATATATGTATATATATATATATATATATATATATGTAGCCATCCAAGAGCGCGCGATAGGGATAACGAGGCGCCGCCAGGGGGACTCCAGGGCCGATCCAATACATGAGTGCGGAGCTCGGACAGTTCGAGGAGGGAGGAGGAGGAGGAGCAGGAGGAGGAGGAGGAGGAAGAGGACGAGGAGTAGGAGGAGGAGGAGGAGGACGGAGGACGGAGGACGAAGGAGGGAGAAGGGAGGAGGGAGGGGGTGGATGCGGTCTGGGCTCTCTGCCCTCCCCCAGTTTGTTCGTCCAATCTTCGTGCGCGAGGGCCTCCTGGGGAAACTGCGGACCCAACTGAGACCGAGACTACCTCCCGAGGACCGCCAGAGGCTCCCAGGACCTTGAAGTGGTTGCATTTAGACTAGGATTTCGGTGCGAATGCGGCGGTGACAGCGAGGGTCTCCCAGGAGGCTCAAAAAGGCGAAAGCTTGGCAAGGGTAGTGGTACAAGTACTTTGAAATCCGCGCGGAGTTTCGTGAGTTTATATGTATGGACAGTTGTTCTTCCTTCGAAGGCAGTCTGCAGAGCACACCTGCCGCCATTTGGAGCTAACAGGCCCCCGCGGCCTCCCCACCCCTGCAGCGAGTTGCGCCCGCGCGCCCGCGAGGAGCTGATCAACACCCTGTCCTCCTCGAAGGCGACGTCGCAGCGTATCGAGGCGTGCGCAAGCGAGGAGGATGATGAGGAGGAGGACGACGGCGAGGAGGAGGCGGAGGAGGAGGAGGAAGAGGAGGAGGAGGAGTAGGAAGAGGAGGAGGAGAAGGAGGAGGAGGAGGAGAATGAGGTTTTCGTCCCTCCGAGTTGGGCCCGTCAGGCCAAAGTGCAAGAAACGGCGCCGCGCGCGGGCTTATGCAGAGATCGGCACCGTAGTGTTGAATATTTCATTTGGTTATCGTCGCATTCTCGCCGCACTTGGGATGATGGCCCGCCAAGAACCGCCTCTCTCAGTTACATTCCACCCAGGCGTGCCCTCGGCGGGACAGGGGCTCTCGAGGCCAGGAGGCTTGCTAGTTGCGTACATGGAGCAGGAGGAGCAGGAGGAGCAGGAGGAGGAGGAGGAGGAGGAGGAGGAGGAGGAGGAGGAGGCGCCTGTGCCACTTGGTGCCTTCGGGCGTCCCAGCAAACCAGGCGGGTAGCAGCCCGCTCGTAAGCCCTGTTTGCCCGTAGCGGACCAGGGGGAGAGAAACTTGCATCAGAGCGTGAATTACCTACCTTGCTTTCGCTTCCAGGCAAAACCAAGCCATACCACGCGCCTCCTCGTCAAGCGGCCTGACCAGTACAGGCTGCAATTTGGCATCGTTTGGTATCTCTTGGAAGCGAGGGTGGTCAAAAGCGAGGTAGGTTTGTTTTCCCCCTATTGCACTCTCGTCGCTACGTTGCATCTCCTTTGCGATGGCCAACCTGGTAGCCCGCCAAGGCCTGGGCCGGGGCGCGGGTCGCCTGCGGGCGGCTCCTTGGGGGATCCCCACCCGTTCTTCCCACGGCCCCGGTGCCCCGTCCTGGAAGTGCGTAGGGGTGGCAGTCGGCCTGGGGAGTGACGGGGCGGCACCGGGGGTGTCGTTATTGAGCCCTGCGGGGCGGGCGCGGCTTGAACAGCTGGATGCAGGCAGTCAGGTCTGTTCTCCCCAGCTGTCTTGTCTCATCTGTTCCTGCTGTCTCAGCTCGTTCGAGTTTTGTTTCAACGGGCTCTTGTCCGCGCGCGCGCGCTGTTAGGAGGCACCGGATAAAAACGATCGTGCGCCCCTTGGTGCGTGTGTCATCAGGCAGGTGATCGGTTGGGTCGTACAGCAAGCTGCGGTGCGCTGTGGCAACCGATTATTGCTCGTCGCTTCTCCTTGTGTCTTTGCTGTGCTTTTTTGCTGCTCGATCGTTCCGTGGCGGCGGTCAGCTTCAGAGCCAACGGGAGCCAGCAGGATGAATGACATGAGTGTGATGATGCTGATGGTGCTTGTGATACTGCTGCTGATGATGACTGTGATGATGATTGTGATGATGATGATGATGATGATGATGATGATGATGATGCTGATGCTGATGATGATGATGATGATGATGATGATGATGGTGATGGTGATGATGATGATGCGGATGATGGTGATGACGGTTACGACCATTACGGTAATTATGCGGATGACGATGATGATTCTGATGGTGATGATGTTGATGATGAGGATGATGATGATGCTGATGATGATAATGGTGCCACTGACGATGATACTGGTGACGACGATGTTGCTGCTGATGCTGATGCTGATGATGTTAATTATGATGGGGAAAAGGAAGGATTTTCGTTACAGTGCGCGTGTACCGTTCAAAGCATGTTGAGACGCCTACGGCGACTCACCGCCGTCCTTTGCCTCTTAGGAAACGTGTATGTGGCCAAGCGTTTGGGCAACGTTTGGTCACGCTATTGGACAATGCGCTTCCCCAGCCACTGGAAAAACCCTTCGGGGAACACGTGGGGGAGGAAGAGGAGGATGAGAAGAGGGAGGGACATGGAAGAACAAAGGAAGGATGATGAGACCTCTTGGGAGTTTTTTCATCATTCTTGGGGCCTCAGGAACTTCCAGGGGGCCTCTTGGAGGTTTCTTGGGGTCTCCTTGTGCAAATCTTGGGGCAGATTGCGTTGACGGTCCGGCTCTGGCCCGGCTAATTCGAGGACGGGCTGTGGATCACGTATCGCGCATGGACGATACCGTTTTGGCAAGTCTTTCTATGGCAAGGCTTGTTCCAAGAATTTCAGAGGTCTCACACATGAAGCTCGTGTGGACGACCTTCATATTGAGATGCATGGGAATCGTATATGCCGAAACTATGCGTACACGTCGGGAGGAGACTACTGTGTTGGACTGGGGGCATTTGTTCGTTGATGCAGGATATGAGCTACACCAGCGGGGCGTGGCTGTTGTCATCAACAAGCGATGGGCGAACGCAGTTCGAAACACCGTTTTGTGAATGAGCGTTTGGTCTATGTCGATTTTCAGGTCCACGGCAAGGTCATACGGCCAATCTCTTCTTATTTTCCCCATGCCAGATCTGCGACAACCACGTGCATGCCATGTATACGTCCTTATTTTGCATATGCGCAGAGGCAGACCGCAAGCATTACATAACGATCCTCGGAGAAGGTTGTAATGCTGAAGTTGGGAGCCGGCTCGACACGGACAGTTCGAAGGTGATCGGACGTTTTGGTTTTATGTAGAGACGTCTCGCGGGCAATGGTTGAAGCAACGGTCAGTAGTACAGAATTTTGTCATCGCCAACGCCCTCGTCCCGAAGACGCCAGAGAACATAGTCACACATATTTGAATCAGTGGGCGTCTTCGACATATAGATTATATTATCGTAGACCGCAAGATGTGGAAACATGTCAAAACTGCGGTTCAGTGACAGAGATGGGGATGGTATCTGACCTCCGTGCAGTCCTCATGACGCCGGATTTCCACCCAACGCCCAAGGAACCGCCGTTACGACAGCAATCCAAGAAACGTGCGACACCATGAAACACGATAGACAACAGTGGTTCCAGAAATACTTTGCAAGCAAAGATGCGCTCCTGGGAGGCTCGCGCGGATGCAAGGCACCAAGCAGACCCCATCGAAAACGCCTTTGCGGTCGTCAGGTGCCGACAGCAAGAACCAACCGAATCAGGAGAACGGGGGGGGCGATTTCATTGAGCTCCGAGGTCGCATCCGGGAGCGCACTGCTGCCCAGTGAGACGCGTCCGACCCCGCACGTCGAGCTTTACCGAACAAGCGCCTCCGGAAGGATCTCAAACGACTTCGCACATCTGAGGCGGCCGTCCGCATCCACAGCATCCCGCGCGATGTTCCGGCTTGAACCAGAACTCTCGACATGCGACCATGGTAAGAAGAGCGTTGATGACGAGTGTGCTGGACGGAGATAAAGGTGTTACCGATCGTGGGATATGGTTGACGTGTTTGCCGCTTGCTACGAATCATTGCATTAGTCAAAGGTATCGGTGCTGATCTTGCCGGAATTGGGAGGTCCACATTTGGGCGCCGGGGTTCTTGAGGCTCGAGACGCGATCGGGTAGCGCAGGCGGGAGAATTGCGCGGACATGGGGGGTTATTTGCTGATATGCTTTTTGAGAGTGGCGACATATTGTTGGGTGTTCTTGCAGATCTTGGCAATGACGTCTTGCATGAATCTTCAGGGCAACCCAGATCGTGGAAGCAGTCCGTGGTCAAGGTGATTCGCAAATCCGGAAGCGACAGGTTGCCGCATAATTACCGCCCAATCCTCGTTATTCCTATCTTGAACAAGTTATTCGCGCGGCTCTTTTGTAACCGATTTTTTATTCATCTTGGAACCACATCAGAGCGCCGATCAAGCTGGGTTCCGGACATCTTTTTCGACAGACGACCATTTCATCACGATGATGATGGCCCAGGAAGAGTCAGGCGAACACCAATGTCCCCTGTGGTCCGCAGCGGTGGACGTCCAGAATGCTTTCGATTCCGTGGCACACCGAGGTTCATGGAATGCACTTTTAAAGGCTGGATGTACCTGTAGGCTACATCAGATTATTACAACGGTTGTATGACAGCACGCTTGCTTGCAGACGCTCGCAGTTGCTGGTTTGATATATCACGTGGGACGAAACAAAGATATCCGCTAAGCTCCTTGCTGTCCAATGCGATGTTTGAAGATCTTGTGAGACGTGTCAAAGTGGCTTGGCAAGCCAAGGGATATGGTATTCAAGTGGAATGCGCACGGGAGTGGAGCATGAGAAAGCTACGTTTCGCTGGCGATGTTCTTCTTGCCGCCATCACGCTGCATCAGGTCAAACAGGTGTTGTCGGATGCACACGACCAAGCTGGTGCAGTTGGCCTCAAATTGCACCCGGATAGGACGAACTCCTTTACCAATGCGACGAACATGACATGGTGGGGGAAATTCACGCGCGCGGATTTCCACGGCATGCGCGTCGAGATCTTGAGTTCTGACACAGCAGGGAAAAACTTGGGCAGATTCTGGAGTGCGGGGACTGCGCGCAGCATTAGATCGAGCGCCGGATTTGCCAATGTTGGAAAGCATTCGTGGCGCACCAATCGGAGTTGGCATGCAAGCGATACTTTTCGTCCAGTTACCTTCGCCTTTTGGACAGCGTCGTTCCCCCAGCGGTGGTGTACGTAACTTCCAGCTGGAACCTGATGGCGGAATGACGACGCACCGCGCGAACAAGTCGACGTAAGATGCTACGCGTGATCCTGGAATTTGGCAGACAGCCGGTGGAAGCGCAGGCGGACCTCGAGTCGGCGAGCTCATCTACGGCGACCTCTGACAGTGACGGCGTGCACGACCAAGAGGTGATTGAATCCTGGGTTAAGTGGGTTATCGTAATAACCAGACAATCGAAGGATATGCACATTCCAACAACATGGAGAACTGGTGTTTGCTGTGGCGAACACGGGCGTGGAGATTCGCTCACTGGGTGACGGCGCAATCGTCTCGGAAATCGCCGTTGCGCGCTACTATGTGGGATGACAGCAGGAACAGACGAGCAAAAGGCCGGCTTCCGAATCGTCCGCGCACGGGGTGGGCTGGCGATATTCGCGCCGACTTAGAATCGCGAGGGTACGATGCGAAACCTAACAGTTGGTTTCTTGTGCCTTTCTCTGCTGAGTAGTGGTC